CCTTTCTTGACTATAGGCACGAATATATTCTACTATATCATGGCAGCAATGTTTCCTTTTTTATGATTTCTTTTCAAGTTTATAGTGTTTTATACATTATCAAAGTCAATTTTGTTAATCAAGATGCTTTTCGAATCTTATTTACAACTGCCTTCTCAGCCAGACATGGTGGTGTACACCTCTAATCCCATGAGGCAGGAGGATTGCCTAAGGAGTTCCGGGCAGTAGTGCCTGCATTAAGACTCAGTAGAGAGGTGGACACCATAGTGAAAACAAAGCGGTGAGGAGTCAGGTGTGGGGCTGGAGTACAGCTCAGTGGTACAGCCCATGTGCAGAGCCCCGGGTTACAAGCCCCAGCACACACACAGTACCTGGTCCTTGACCTGAGCCCAGTCACGCTGACTGACAGGAGCAGGGCCATGTGCACCTTAGCCTCTTTCTGTGCACAGCAGCAGCCCTGGGCTCCACCTGGTCCCTACTCCATGGGCAGCCTCTGGCCTCCCTGGGACAGGGGGCACAGGCCATGTGGCCCTTTCACTCTTTCCTGAGAAAGATGCCCTGGGCAGAGGAGGTCCCAGAGCCTGGGATGCCTCTAAGGTTTGCACACTAGGGCTGGGGCCAGTAGAGTCCTTGGAGAAGGCAGGCCCCTTCCTTCCGGGGTTACACAGAGGGTGGCTCTCCCAAGGGCAAGTCACTCCTTAACACACACGACATCTTAAGCAAGCAGGTGTCTCGTGTCCTGTCCTAGTGAGGACTATGCAGCCATACCCAAGACCCATCTCACTCTCGTGAGGAGGACAGCAGGATTCTGGCTTGTTTGAGTTGTCCCAGAATGAAGGGCACTGGTGGTGAGCTCCGACCCCTGGTGGCTTGGTTACAAGCGTGCACACAAGGTGTCAGGAGGTTGAGGCTGAACCTCTGTCATTAGCAGTACAGAGGGTGCGGTGACCTGATGGGCAGCTTCCACCTTGTTCTGACGGCAGCAGGATGTCCAGGTTAGCCAGGGTTTCAGAAGCTCACGCAGTGGCCCCAGAAGAAATGGAGGAAAAGTAACAGCACCTCAAAGTGGCAGCAGCAAATCGGGTTAGTTAGGGCTACGTGATTGGGACTGAGTGGACATGGTAGAGGTCAGGGAGGTGGCTCCTGAGGTCCTAAGTTGGGGGTCCAGGTGTCAAGGGGGAAGAACATAGGGATTCGTGTAAGGCATGAGGAGCCCACGGGAACCTGAGAGGAGAAAGGACGGGTGGGAGCAGTCAAGGGGCTGGTCAGGGCAGCTGTCTGTGAACATCTTCACCGGGGCTGGATGCATGTCCACAGTTCTGTCCCGTGGCTGTTGGTGGAGGCCTCGGACCCTCACTAGGTACAGCCCTCTACAGGCTTTCAGAAGGCAACTGCAAGCCAGGCAAGGGACAACAGCCTGCAATCCCAGCACTGGGAGGCAGAAGCAGGAGTTCAAGGCCGGCCAGGGATACACAGTGACACACTGTCTCAAAACAAAACAAAGGACAAACAGGTACCTGCTACTTCTGTTCAAGTGAGGAGGTCAGGATTAGAAATCTGAATAGAAATAACACCATGGTACAAAGCAAGTGTCTGGGAGAGAGTGACACTGACTTTATTTAAAGGGCCTCACGCTTGCTAGGCAGGCACTCTGCTACTCTACTGCTTAAGCCACTCTGCCAGTCCTTGTTATTTTTTTGAACACGAGGACTTCTGAACTGAAGTCATCCTCCTGCCTTACCCTCCCAATAGATGAGAGTAAATGTGTATGCCACCATGTCAGGCTAAAAATATAGATATTTTGCTTATCGTAGACATTTTGGCATTCATTTTGGCTTTCTAAAATATTAAAGTACTTAGGGTTGGCAGAGGGGCTCAAGTGGTAGAGTGCCGACCTAGCAAGCGTGAGACCCTGAGTTCAAACCCCAGTACTTCCAAATAAAAAAAAAGAGAGAGAATTAAAGTATCTTGATTATTGAGGTCTTTGAGGTTTTGGGTGTCTGTCTAAATTTTGCATCCAATAGCCAGGCATGGTATACACCTGTAATCACAGCACTGTGGAGGCTGACACAGGAGGATCTTGAGTCCCACAGGCAGCCTTCAGTGAAACCTGCAAAAACCTCCATCTGAGGTGAGTACCTCACTGCCCCAGCCTGGTCCAGCCCTAGGGACAGCACAGGGTCCCAGATGGGCCTGCCAGGATGCCAGGAAAGCAGAAGAAGGTGAGAGAGGAAAGGCTTGAGGAAGGAGGCAGTGGGGATGGGGACAGTCTGGAGATGTGCTCGCTCCTGTCCTCCAACTCTGCCCCATCACCTGGAGCCCCGTGTGACACCCCAGGGAGATCCCCAATGGCCTTTGCTCCTCAGCTTCCTGCCTCCAGGAGAAGAGGCCCCTGAAAGCAAAGTGCTTTCAAGGAGGGTGGCCCCAAATGGTGTCACCTCTTCTCAAAAGGATCAATCTGGGAGTGGGTGAGGAATCCTGTGGTCCCCGAATTCAGTCCAAAAGCCCCATGACTATGGCTGGCAGCCATCCAGACTCCTGGCCACCATATCCATTCCATTCCTATCCACAGCAGTGGCCTTTCAGAAACCAAGATGAGCTGGACACAAGCTCATCTTGTCCAGGGTCACACGGCCTGAAAGTCTGTCTGCCCCACTGGATTTGAGGGGCTTCCTTATCTCACAGGTCAACAATCTCCCAGACCCAGGAGATGGGCTACTTCTGGGCCTGTTAATCATACCCACGGTTCATTCATTCAATCTACATTTGCCAGCACCTGTCTGTCACTAGACACCTCAGAGTTTTGGCAACAAGGAGACCCCATCATCAGGTGTCTCAGAGCTGAGGAAAGAAGGACTGGGCCCCAACCTGAAGGGCCTAGAGTTTAGCAGTCAGTGCTTAGTAAACAGAACATGGGTGGTAAGTGTGGCTCCCAGGGAGCAGATTGCAGCCTTGCCTTCCATTGGGTCGGGGCCCTGTTGGCTGGATAAGCACAGCCCTGCCTTTGTGGTTTGGAGAATGCTCTGCACAGTGGCTCACAGGGATGAGACCTTCAGACTTGGCTGTCCTCTGGCATCCTGGCTGGAAGGCTGTGCTATACCCTGGCCTGTAAAGCCTGTGCCGGCCTGGCCACCCCACAGGACGTGGGCCAGACGCCTACAAGCCCCAGTGACTGACAGGCTTTGAAGCAGGGTGGATGATTCAGGGCTTGGGCACTAAAGAAGTAAGGCAGAGCATGAAGGAGAGTCAGGAGGCCCGTGACAGGAGGCTGGCTTCTTCCTACAGCAGAGGACACTGCCGTCCCCAGCCTCCACTGCCCCTGCTTTTGGAGAGGCCCCAGTTGGGCTCCTGGTACTCAGGGCCCATCAAGCACACAGGGTCCCTCCCACACTGCCCAGGCTGGAGTCCACTCACCCCATGAGTCAGAGCACTTTGGTGCCTTACTGTTTCATCTAGAGGAGGAGGAGGGGGATTTAGAGTCTTCTTCATAGGGTTGTTTAGGGCTTTTAAAAATTTGTATTTAAAACTTTTTTGGTAGTAGTAGAGTTTGAACTCAGGGCCTTGGGCTCTACCACTTGAGCCATGCCACCAGCCCACTTTTGTGCTAGTTATTTTTCAGGCAGGGTCAGGAGCTTTGCACTGGGGTGGCCTTGGGCGGTGATCCTCCTACCTGTGCCCTCTCAAGTTGGGATGTCAGGTGTGGGCCACCATGCCCCACGCTGGAGGGTTGTTTAAGTCCGCCACCACTAATTTGCAGTGCTGGGGGTAGAATTCAAGGCCTGGCACACGCCAGGTTAGTGCCCTACCACTGAGCTACATCCTACCACCTTGCTTTTGCAAAGTTCCAGAAGGAAGTGCCTCTTGGCTGCGCACGGTGTCTTCAGAGACCCACACATTAAGAAAAGGAAAAGGAAACGAAGAAAATCCTGAGCATCCCAATGAAGGGGCGTCTGTTAGCGGGTACTCACTAACGTTCTCAAGGCTGTCCAGGACAGGGCATGGCCACTGGCGATCTTTTGGGGTCGGTGCCCCAGCCCGGCCTGCAAAGAAGGCGGTGAGAGGCAGGGGATGGGGGTCCCCGTGGCCGACGGCAGGGGGCGCTGCGGAGCCGGGGCCGCGGCGCTAAGCAGGAGGCCGCGCTGGCCAGGCCGGGAGGTCCGCGACCTGCCTCTGGGGACCCCACGTCGCTACGCACGCAGTTGGGATGCGGGGCGGGTGAACTTCCAACAAGAAGCCCCTGACGCGGCGGGGAGACGGCGGGAGGGGGGTGGCCGAAACAAGTACATGTAAGTAAACGCAGAAAAAGTTAAAAAAGGAAGCCACTGACTTTGCTCCGCCTCCCGGCCCCCGCCTGCGCGCTGTCCCTCTGTCCTGCGCGCCACCTACCCGGGCCTTGACTGGAAAGCGAAGCGCGACGCAAGACCGGCGGGGCGAGGAGAGCTGGAGGCGGCAGAGGGCGGGGCGAAGCGGCCCTGGGGGCGGGGCGACGCGAGGGGGAGGCGGGGGAATAGGGCGGGGCGGATGGGGAGCGGGGATGGGCGGGGCGACGGCGGGGGCGGGGCGACGGCGGGGGCAGTCCGGGCAGAGGGCCCGGGGAGAAGATGGCCAGGCGAACGTGGGGGCGGGGAGGATGGGGCGCCGGGCTGGGAGAGGGTGTCGCGGAGGCGTCGAGAACGTGGGGACGAGGGAGGGCACCCGGAAGGTGAAGGCGGGGCGTAGCCGGGACCACGCACGCAGCCACAGAGTCCGTCCGTGGAGAAGGGACGCGGCGAGGTTGGAGGGAGCGTCCCGAGAGCCGGACAGGCTCTGTGGGTTGGGGGTCGCATGTGAGTGACCTTTCCACGACTAGCAGATAACGGACACTGCGGGGAACCCACGAACCCGGGCCCAGGAAGCAGCCCAGTCACTGCGTGGGGCCAGGGCGCCCTGCCGGGCACGTGTATCCTGGGGACACCACGATCGGGTTCCCACCCCGCGCTGTCTCCCTGCCCCCTGCCAGTCCCCCTATCGGGCCCGTGACCCCCATGTATACTGCGGGCACCGCGATCGGGTCCCCCTGCCCGCTGCACTCGTTGGAGCACAAGAAGTCTTTCTTCTTCACGGCTAGGCCACCTTTGCTTTTGAGTCAGAATGTCCCTGTGCAGCCCAGGCTGGCCACGAACTCTCCACCCTCCTGCCTCAGCCTGGGATTGCAGTCAGTTATGACAGTGTCCATGCTTGATGGTGGTGAGCAACTCATCTGTGACATGAGTCCGTGTCTATAGAACTGCCAGGCACTCACTTGTCCTTGCTCCACGGTTGCATGTACAAAAGTCAGTTCCAGTCATTTTCCTCCAAGACCTGCAAAGGCACCCATGTCTACAGGCAGGTTTCAGAGCGAGCGCATCCATTCCAGAGAACATGCGGCATGACCCTGAGGGATGGTGAATATAGTTGGCTTTCTCTGTAAAAACACATCACAGTAGTACAGTCTTACCAACGGTCATTCACTCAGTACTGGTGAAGCGCCTTCTATATCCCAAGCACTAACAAAACGGGTGGAACCCTGCCCCGTGGAGCTTACCCCTGCAGATAGGCCCATTTAAGGCAGGTGTCATGGTGTGGACATCTGGGAGAACATGGAGGGACTGGTCAGGGCTGAGCCGAGGTAGTGGAGGCCTTTGGTTTGTTCAGCAAGCAGAGAGTAAAGGAGGTCAGAGGGGAGGGTCTGGGCGGTGAGGGGCTTTCAGGCCCTGTGCCAGGATGCCTTACAAAATCCTAACAATGCTAAAAGGCATTTGACAGCAGGGCTAGGGAAGGTGTGCTCAGAAGTCATGGTGCTTCTCTGAGGAACACTTGGAAAATAAGAAAATGGGGACCCAGATGGGTGACTCCAAAGCCCTTGCACTAAAACCCAGCACCTCATGGCTGCTTTTCCAGGGAAAACCAAAGTTGTTGTATGGTCACTGCCAATATGCTGATTGAGCCCAAGACCCAGAGTCGTATTTGTGCAACCCCACATTCTTGGGGTTTGGCTCATTTCACAGAACACCACTTAGTTTTTCTCTAAACAAACCTTATGGAAGTGAATGAATACAAAAACTCTAAAGCATGTTTAGGAATTGCCATCAAGGCTAGACAGAGTGGCTACACCTGGAACCCAGCACCCAGGCTGAAGATCATGAGGTTGACACCAGCCTGGGCTATGTTGTGAGATCCTGTCCCAAAAAACAACAAATTCACATCAGTCCTCCGTTATCAGTCATTAGACTGCATTGCCTGAGCCACATTTTCCTCCCCCAAACTAGCCACAAGTGGGAGTGGCTTATCACAATGGCCTGTGTGTCACAGAGTCACCTGGGTTCCCTAATACCCTTTCCATATTCTGGTTAGAGCACACGCATGGCACATGAAGTTAAAGTCAGTGCTTATGATTTTGATCAGAGCCAGCCTACAGTTATTGACACCAGAAACTGTGTACTGGGCTTTCTGAAGGGCATTTTTAACCTTGAACGTTCTCAAACAGGTGCTACTGCTTCAAGAGAGTTCATCATAGCCTACTGGAGCAGCTCCCATTTGAAATGAGTTAAGAGCTGTCAGCAAGTTCAGCATCAGCATTAGATGTTGAGGTGGCTTTCCCGTTACCATCCCATCCAGGGTGTGGACCAGTGAGGGCTGGGAGTATGACAGCCATAGGGGAATGGCAAGATGGTCAGTCTCTGTCCACTGCCAGCCTGACTTCTAGCCTTTCATGCTACAAGAGGGACAATTACAGAATGACTTCTTTTTACTTTGCCGGTTAAAGTCCATTTCCCTGTGGAGAGCAGAGCAAAGGCTGCTCACACACCTGTGCTAAACAGGCAGGGGACAGCAGAGGACGGCCAGGCCAGTCAGGACAGGCTGTGGCCCAGGCAACCCCCTGCTGTCACAACAGAAAAGGTCTTTGGGCATGGCTGCCTGAACTGCCACAGGTGGAAGAAACTTGACTTGCCCAGAGTGAACCCCACTGCACCCAAACTCTTCCCTTCCCCCTTTGTTTTTGTCTCATTTGGTATTTTTTGAGACTGGGTCTCTGTTGCCCAGACTGGCCTTGAGTTTATGAGCAAGTAATCTTCCTGCCTCTGCCCCCCAGTCCTGGGATTATTACAAGCAGAAGCCACAATGGCCCTTTTTATTAATTTTTTTGGTGGTAAGGGAGATCAAACCCAGGACTTGCAAGTGCTTGGCAAGCAATGCCTGACCCTTTCGAACGTACTTTTAAGGGTCTGATAGGTGCCATGTGACGTGAAAACTGAACTACCCCTGGATCAAACCCCCTCCATAAGCAACAGAAAAACTGTGCTGTAGTCCCTTGGGTTCCTATGCTGCCCCTCACAGCACAGGTTCACATCCTACTGGGGACTCTTCTACCAACAAGAGCTGTGGGGTGCCAGTGGCTCACACCTGTAATCCCAGCTACTTGGGAGGCAGAAATTGGGAGGATCATTTGAGAACAGCCTGTGCAAAAAGTTTAAGACCCCATCTCAACCTATGGGTGGGCACAGTGGCAGGCGTCTGTCATCCCCAGCTATACTGGGAAGCACACATACACATAGGAGGATGGAGGTCCAGGCCAGCCCAGACATAAAGCAACACCCAATTTCAAAAATAACCAACACAGGACTGACAGCATGGCTGAAGTTGTAGAGTGCCTGCCTAGCAAGTCTGAGGCCCTGAGTTCAAACTCAGGTATCCTGAAAAGAAGAAAAAGAAAAATAATTACATTTAATGTTAATAATCACTCCAATTAGAAGGTAGAGATGGAAGAGATAAAAACACCATACCCAAATATACGCTGTGTGTAAGAGATCCACTTTTAAATAGAAAGATATAGGTCTAGGGATGTAGACCGGGCTTGCCCGGCATGTTAGGCCTGGGTTCAATCCCCAGCACCACAAGTAAACAGAAAGGCACAGAGGTAGAAAGTGAGTGGAAAAACGTAAACAAGTACATGGCTGGAATGGTTTCACATCAGATCAAGTGGGCTTTCAACAAAAAAGCACCATCACAGATAGAGGGGAATTGTATGAGAAATGAGGAATACATGAGGCAAAACTAGTAGCAGGGCTTCAAGTCATAAAGAGAATTGGTGGAACAGAGACCCTACCTGAGATTGTAACTTCCTCTCAGAGCATACTGAAATAAATCAGTAGACAGCTAAGACTGAACAGTTCTGTCATCCCCTAATGTAAATGGTGCTACAGAATGTGGTCAACCAGCAACTCAGAATGCATATTCTTTTCAGCAGCACATGGTACATTCACCGAGACAGACCACAGAATATCTACGGACATAAAACAAGCTCTGAATAGACAAAAAGCCAAACAAAACAAAAAAACCCACCAAGTTCTGAAATCACAAAGAGAATACTTTCTGACCTCAGCAGAATTAAAGTAGAAACCAATAACAAAAAAGAGATTTAGGATGGGAGGTGTGGCTCAAGCTGTAGAGTGCCTGCCTAACAAGTACAAGGTCCTGAGTTCAAACCCTCAAAAAAAAAGTCAAAAAGATATTTAGGAAAAACAAAAACATTTGCTAATTGGACAATATATTTTGATACTTTTAGCTAATCTATGAATGGAGGAAGAATTCACAGGAAATGGGAAAATATTTAGAACTGAATAACAATGAAAATATATTAAAATGTTCAAGATGCAGCTAAAATTGTGCTGAAAGGGAAATTTAGTTTTAAATACTCGTATTTCACAAGTTTAAAACCAATGATACTCAAGCTAAAGAAATAGCAAAGTAAACCAAAGCTACGTAGAAGACGCAATAAAGAGCAGAAACTGATGAACTTGATAACAACTGAGAAAAACAAAGCTAAAGATTGATTCTCTGAAAACCGTATCAACAAAATTGATCAAGCAGAATCAATCATTAAAGAGCAGAAATCACCAGTGTCAGGGGTAGAGAGCTTGCCCAGCACACTGAAGGTCCCAGGTTCCATTCCCAGCAATAACATGGTACAAACATACACACACACACATACACATACATTCACATATATTCACACACATTCACATATACACACATACACATGTGCGTGTGCACACACACTCATACACATATATTCACATACACTTGTGCCAGAAATGACCGGTGTTACAATGAAAAAGAAGTTACTGCTACAGCTGCCACAAGCACTACAAGTAAAGAAGGAGTTACTATGAATAACTTTTTGTCTACAAACCTGAAAACCTGGATAAATTCCTTGAAAATGTATCTAAATGATACAAGGTAAAGCCAAAAATCTGAACAGCCCTATATTTAAGAAATTAATTATAAAAAAATCTTCCTACAAAGAAAACCTCAGGCCCAGATAGTTTCACATTAATTCTACAAATGCAATAACGAAAAAGGGGGTAGTTATTAAAAAATGAGCTTTTAATATCAGCAGGACTATGGGCCAGAAATCCACATTCGGAAGGCAGAAGTGACAGACTGCACCCAGGAAGTCAACCCTGTGAAATTCATTTCTTCTTCCCCTTGGAAGGCTTGGCAAATAAAGCTGGGTCAATGAGTTCCTTTGGCAGCCCTCGCACGGAGAAGAGTCTTGCTGCCCGCTCCTGCATCGTGCCCCCGCACTTCAGTCCCCGGGCCATCAGCTCGCACTTGAGCTTCTCCAACCCCAGCAACTCCAGCTCTGCCACAGAGCCAAATGCCATCAAATCCACAGCTTCCTCTCTGAGAACCTGAGGGGAAAACAAGGACTTAGAGAAGGCTCCTTCCTCTGTCCATTTTCAAGGCATGGTGCTGTGTGAGCCATTGCACACAACCCTACTTCCTTATCCATGTGCGAAGAGACGTTCAGGACAGTAAGAGAGTCAGGATTCCTGAACAGATTTTTTTTCCTCCAGTGCTGGGATGGAACCCAGGCCAGGCAAGTGCTCACCACTAAGTCGCACCACCAACTACAATAGATTCAAAGACCCACTGTCAGTTTCCACTTACATTAAGTCACAAATTTAAATGCATGTAACAGACTTGGGACTGTTCCATCCAGAAAAAACCTTCACAGACTTTAAGACAAAGCTAAATACTTCTAATGCCCTGACAAGATGAAAATGTTCACCTCTCTCCCAGTAAGTTTTGTGTAAGATATTCAAGAGCTCTGGGACAGTCTTTATCTTTTAGCTTACCTTTATTTAAAACAAAGAAAAAAAGCTACTTCAGAAGTGAATTTTGGCTTCATTATTAATGACCAAATTCTAAAACAGCAGGTAAAGAATTCTTTATAGAGAATACTTGGTTGTTATAAAGATAATACTGTAACACCAAGAACAAAACTTCCTTTGTTAATAATGAAATCAAATCAGTCTGCAATTATTGTTCCTTTATTCCTTTTTCCAAGATTTCAGTCAGGATAACTGCTGAAAGTATACATGCAGCATAAAAATCATGTACCTAAACTTCCAGAGACGGTGTGAGGGTCAAATTGCAGCCAGAGCAAAAGATTCCAGTGCCCTCCCCCAAAAAACAGTCTATGCACATTTGCTTATTTGCTGGGGGTAAGTTAAAGAGGCACTGGTTAAACTAATGACAGGCTTTGTGCTCATCAAAGCAAACCAAGAGCAGACCTCTAGCTCCCACAGTAAACATTTGTTGGAAGCCATGACACTGAAGACAGCAAATACTCATCTACTTAGGAGAAAGTTAGTACAGTGAAAACGGCTTTTTTCCCTAAAAAAGCTAAGTGTGAGACTAGATTAAATGATACTTCAAAAAGGAATAGATTTTTCTTTTCACAGGAAAAGATCTTCTTGTCCTGTGGCAATTATTGTTCAAATTATTTCTCATGAAAGTAAGAAAGTCTGAGCAGCAAGTCAGTGACAGGACACATGAGCACGCTTCATCAAATCTAAAGTGTCACTTGTGGTGACGTACCTTGCTATTGTATGCATTAAAGAATAAACAAACCAATTAAGCTATGATATACATCTGGTTTTAGAGATGTTAAAATGTGACAGATTGAGAGGGCGCAGTGGTGCAAGCCTGAAATCCTAGCTCTTAGGAGGCTGAAGCAGGAGGATAGAGTTTGGGGTCAGCTCAAGACACACAGCCAGACTTTCTCAGACCCCCCAGTGCACCACAGTGAAAACATACAACTCAGAACTGATGAATGTGGCACCAAGGACACCACCTAGTGGCAAAACAGTGTAAAGTTCCTGAGCTTTGAAAACCCTTTTGGGGAGGACAAGAGGAGCTTCACTGTCACCTGTACCTCTTGTTTTAAACAAGCCTTTCACTAAGAGGTGACAGGGAACACTGGATTTTCATGTTAACAACTTACTGTGGAGATTAAATGGATTTGGCTCCAGAGAGCAAACCAAAATTTAACAAGTACTCACCGAGTTTCCTGCCTGGCTGCCCTCCAGTCTGGCAGCAGGAAGGTCTGCCCTGTCTTCTCCAGGTTCTACCTGGGCAGCCCTGTCCCCCCCAGTCATTTTTTCTGTCTCTCGGTCCTTATTCAGCACAGTGCTGGCTGCATCCTTTTCTCTGGGCTGGTGGCTCTCAGCCTTCTGTCTCCTGCAGGGGTCCTCTGCTTCTCCACCTTCCTTTTCCACCCTGTGCTTATCCATGGATGCCTCTCCCAGCTCAGTGCAGCCTTCTGGAGTCCCCTTCCCAGTGTCAGTCACCAGGCTGTGGGGTTTTGCTGGTGACACAGAGTCTGAATTCAATACTACCACCCTTGGAGAACTGCAGGAACCTTCAGCTGCCATCTCATCACATCCACTGTCATCTTGTGGAGCAGAGCAGCTCACGCCTGAAGTACCAGGTGTTGCTTCCCTGTCATCATCGTCATCAGAGCTCCCACAGCTGGACCCCTCTGCAGTCTCCAGCCCCTCCACTCCCAACCTGTGGGAAGCAAGAGAGGCACCATACCATTTGTAACTCTGCTCCAAGCATGGGCTGAGGACTGAAACACTGGGAAATTCTCCCAATGCCCACCAGACTCCACTGAAAGATGTGCTGTGCAGACAGAGAGGGAGAAGGTACACCTCCTCATTCTCACAGGTCATTTTGGAGGGAAAGGAGCTGCACTTACCAAAAGCACTTCCTTTTCTTTGCACTGGCTTCTTCCTCGTTCCTTGATTTGCTGGGCCGTTTCCGATTCTCACTGATCTCTGCCGACACCACTTTGCTGGAGGCAGCCTGCATACCTAACCACAGGTGTAAGAATGGTCTCTATTATCAGGGCTGGGCTTAAGCAAATCTGGATTGCAAGAGTGCTGCAACCTAAGGCTTTGGATTCTCATTTCTTAAGGTACCAAAATTGCATATGGTTAAAATGGCATCAGCAACAGGCCTAGCATGCTTTGGGTGCTTAACAAAACACAGAGGACCAGAGACCTCCTGAAGACTCAGCTTATCCCTCCACACAAAGACAGGCATTCTCACCTGGGGCCAGGAGCTCATGGGACTGAGGGGTAAGTGTGCCAAATACTGTGTGTGTCCAATGTGGGAGCAGTGTGTGATAAGCACCACGTGTTCTTCAGGTTCTCCCCAGATGCTGAAGAAGCACCATGCGGCACACACTGAGGAATCCACACTCTCACCTTTGAGGACAGAATCCTCCAGGCGCTCAGCCATCTCGTGGCACTGCTGCTGGTAGTCGGGGTTGGTGAAGCAGTGCTTGGGTTCTGCAAGCTTCCTCTGCAGCCGCTCCAGGCGCTTTTGCTCCTTCTCTGCCTCTCGCTCAGCTTGCTGTTTTACCCACTCAGCCATTCTGGGGAAGGAGAGATGTGCTGAACACGCGCTATACGTGTGCTTACGCGGTTGTGTACCACATAGCCTGCCCCACAGACTGCATATGATCGAGGCCCCAGTAACAATGGAGCTGAAACACTGCTTCTGTCTGTTGACTTCGTGGCACAAGGCATTCACCCGTTTGTGGTGACGGTGGTGTAAATGAAACTACTGGGCTGGCTGCAGTCATACAAAGTACAGCACACACAATTACAGAGACCCGTGGCACCCGAGGGACATGGCTGAAAGGAGTCACCGTCGAGGAAAACTCACAAATGCTCAGGATGAGAGGTCAGTGCTGCACTGCAGATGCTTGATTCATTTGTTTTCTATAACGCTGCCCAACTTTCGTTAAACACGTGCTGCCTTTCAGCAAACTTAAACATTTTCTCCAACTTATCACTTAAATTAAGCATAATATGTGGTTTTTTGTTTTGTTTTTTGGTGGTACTGGGGTTTGAACACAGAACCTGCTGCTTGCTAGGCAGGTGCTCTACTAGAGTCATGTCTCCAGCCTGCCCCCCCCACCAACCCCCGCTCTTTTTTCAAGACCCTTTCCAGATAGGGCCTTGAAAACTATTTGCCCTGGGCTGGCTTTAAACCTCAATCCTCTTGAGTAGTGAGGATTACAGGTGTGAGCAACCAGCACCAGCATTACACATTCTTTTTGGCTTGGGAGGATTATCAAAACTTTTGCTTTTGGAGTGCCATTTGCTTTTTGGAAGGCGTATTTTCATAAAATTAAGGGTGGCGAAACACCCAGAGGATCTTGCAGTTTAAACACAACCTATGCACATGGGCTCACTGAGAGCTTCTCTGCCTCAGCTGAGCTGCATAATGTGCATGCAGGAATTTACTATTTTTGTTTTTGAAATTTCTTTTCATTTTTTAACTATTCATTACATTATTTTTGACCACATGTGGTCAAAACCATGTATAATAAACCCACAAAGGTAGGCTTACCATATGTACTCTGTATAATACTTGAGAATCGACGACTATGTTACTGGTTTATGTATTTATGTACAGTACTATTATTTCTTTTTGCAGTTCTGGGGATCAAATCAAAGTCACAGTCTTGAGCATGCTAGGCAAATGTCCTACCACTGAGCTAGCCATCATTTACCTTTTGTTATTTTAGAGTGTACTCTGATCTTTTTTTTTATTTATTAGGATATAAATTCGCTATACAAGAGGGGGATCATAATGACAATTCCAATTAGACTTATGTTGTACATTATTTACATTGCCCCCATCGTCTCTCCCCCTCAACCCCTTCCCAACCCCACTTAAAGCAATTGCAAGAGTTCTTAGTTCTGTTTCATATAGATATACGAAGTCCATCTACCATATACCCTCACCTTAATCTCCTTCCTTCACCCTCCTCCTCCCACTAGTACCCCTCCCCTCCCCACACTGCACCTGTTTTACGGTCCTGGCTTTCAGTATTAATATTTAAGCTCATGTTCAAAGGGGTGTCTCAACACATGCCCACTGTGGATACTTTACTTTGGTCCATGCCCTTCCATTACTCTCCTTGTCCCTTTACCGCCCACCCCCCATTTTTCAACAGCTTACTCCTATAATAATAGCAAGTTGAGGGTCAGGCGTGGTGGTGCATATCTATAATCTGAACACTCAGGAGGCTGTAACAGGAGAATCATCAATTTTGAGGCCAACCTGGGCTACAAAGCAAATTCCTGGACAGCCTAGATCGCATAGTGAACCTATTTCAAACAAACAAAAACCCCAAGTTTATTCTTAGACACTATGCTGCATTTCACCAGCAGCACCTCATGTATTTTTGTTTACTGTCTCTGTCTGTCTGTCTGTCTGTCTCTCTCTCTCTCTCTCTCTCTCTCAGACTGAGGTTTGAACTCAGCACTTTGCACTTGCAAAGCAGGTGTTCTACTGCTTGAGGCACTCCTCCAGTCCATTTCGCTCTGGTTATTTTGGAGATGAGGTCTTGAAAACTATTTGCCTAGGCTGACCTCGAATCGGGGTCCTCCTGATCTCAGCCTCCCTCATAGCTAGGGTTACAGGCGTGAGCCACCAGTGCCTGACTTACCAAATCTCTTGATTAAATTGAGAGATCAACCTATACCATGTCTAGGTTTGTGCAAGTACACTCTATGATGCTTGCACAACAGAAAACTTAGCTAACTAGACACTTGACATAACACGTCCCAGTGGTTAAGCAATTCGTGACTATGTGAAAAGTAGCCCCTAGACACATGAATGGACTCTTACTCATACTGTGATACCTGCCCAGAAAGGTGTGCTTGACACCAGGGTACTGTAATGGATTTAAAAGAACTCCAGTAATAGTAAGTTAGAAGGAAAGTACTCTGTATTTACATTTCTTATCTTTTTGGTGTGGCACTGGGGTTTGAACTCAGAGCTGTGAACTTGCATGGCAGGTACTGTAGCACTTGAGCCACATCCTCAGTCTTTGCTTTAGTTGTTTTTCAGATGGGGCCTCAGCACTTCTGCCTGGGTGGCCCTCAATCCCACCTGGCTCTGCGCTTACATGCCTGGTGTGCTGCATGTGTACAGCACACTGTCAATGTGACAGAGATGGGGCCTTACGCTTTCTCATGGTTGACATCTCGTAGCCTCCTCCCGCTGAGATCCCGGCAGGCTTCTCGATTGGTCGTCTTCTCAATCTGAGCACCAAGTGCTCGGAGCATAGACCCAAAACCTGAGCCAAGAAAGCAGGTTAAAACATGCTCAAGGATGGACACAAGCCAAATCTGTGAGGACAGTCTATGTCTCAAGACTGAAAGTGCTTTTTAAAGGAGATGGGCGTCGTCATGGTGCTAGCCCAGGCACCTGGTAACAGGATCGATCGATGTGATGGCACTTTGTGTCTTTCATCCTGGTTTCCCATTTCTGAAATGCTGTGCTGGACACCCTTCAGCAAGTGCCAGAGACCCCAAGACTCTGAGACTTTCAAGGAGGTAGGAAGGAAAGGCAATGAGAAGTTGTGAGTGGCTGAGCAGGGCTTCACTCTTATGGACAGAACTTTGAACAGCAAGATGGGCAGAGATGACCATGAAGCCCTGAGAACCAAACCAAATTGCAGCAGATTTGGGAAAACTTAAGGGCTACATGATTGTGCTCAGAAGAAATACCTAGAACGGCTCCCATTCTGTTTCTGCTTTTAGTTCCTCTTTCCTCTTATGTGCAGCAGTCAAGCCAAGACCTTAACCTACTCCAACCTGAAAACATGGTGCTGCCAGTTACTGTGGCTCACACCTGTAATCCTAGCTGCTCAGGAGGCAGAGATCAGGAGGATCACAGTTCAAAGCCAGGCCTGGGAAAATAGTTCTGATGACCCTATCTTGAAAAACCCCATCACAGAAAAGGGCTGGTGGAGTGGCTCAAATAGTAAAGCGCCTGCCTAACAACCATGAGGCCCTGAGTTCAAACCCCAGTACCACCAAAAAAAAAAACAAAAAACAAAAAACAAAAAAACCCAGTGGTGTTTGCTAGGGTGACTTTACATCACCTCACCCTTGGCACTACAGTAATGAGACAAACCTTGATAAAAGCAGATTAGATTGTTTTAGAGCTCTGTCTTCAGCAAGCTGAACAGAATAATGGTCACCTTTGTTCACCTAATCCTCCCCAAAGTTTTAGAGCCTAGGCTCCTGAGAGCAGTCTGGCTAAAGAGGGTGGGGTTTATATAACATAATTCTTTTTTCCTCAAAAAGAATAAAAAGAGGAAGATACTCAACATTGGGCAATAAAAGGTTTCACAAGGCAAAACAAAGCTGGCACAACACAATGACCAAGGAGTTTGTTAAATTAAACTATACTGCTAGACTACAAATGTTACAACCAACTTACCAGATTCAGGTCTTACCTCCTTTCCCACCACAAAGTCTGGGCTCCAGAGTATAAACAGCTCCATGCTGCACTGTGTCACTGGTGCTAACGAGGGCTCCACTGCACTTCACAAAGAAGTATTCCACAGGAACACCCTAGACACAAATTTGGGGTGTAATGTCTTATTAGGACACGATACAAGTTTCTTACAGGAAAAGACCTAGCCTTTTATCTTTCTGTTACTCCAGTTATAAGCAGAATGTATGTTTAACATCTGTTGAACTAGAAATGAAAGTTGTTTCTTCATACGATACAGTCTGGGTACTTTTCCCTAATATTTACGTAACCTTGATATACAGAAACTTTAGTCCTTTTTTGATGAAAATAAAAGCTGCTTTCTTTCTCCTTCTCTCTCTACTCAGTCACCCGAGTCATGGTAGGAGACCATTGCAGGGCTCAGATCCAATTACATCAGGTCTCATTTCCTGACTTTTTTAAACAGGTAAAATTGGTTAACTCATCACTGGTCTCCAAGTTTAAAACTGACACTACTCATCCTGAAAGGTGTAAATGGGCATAAGAAGGGGAAGAAAGAGTCAAGGGTACAGTTCTTAATATATCTGTAAGTGTTAATGTGTGTAAGACTAGCTGACTGGCAGCCACTGCCTGCCTCTCCTGCTAGTGCCCCTGAATTACAGCCAACCCCTGTCCAACCATTGGTCAAGTAACAAAAAGAAAATATAAAGACTCAAAAGATGAGTTTCTGATGCCGCAAAATGAAACAACAGAGTATTCTTCAAGGTTACATGGACCATAGTAAATCTCCAGTGTCAGGAATAAAGAGGTCTGACCACCACAGAGAATGGAAATGCATGATTGGTATCTTTCTGAAGCCACAGCTAGGAACAAGTCCTTGTGAACCATGTCACGTAGCTAGTTCAAAGGGACCCTTTTGGACTGTAGGTGTGGCTCACATGGTAGAATACCTGCTTTGCAAGCAGGAAACCCCGAGTTCAAACCTCAGTCCCACCAAAAAAAGAAAAAGAACTTCATCAAAGGGAGCCTTCCACTCAACAACTATCAAGTGCCTACCATCTGCCCAGGACTTTTCAGGTGTACAGCAACAAATCAAAGGAGAATCCTGCCTCAGGGAGCATCACTGCAGCGGGGTCACCTCAAGTGGTGGCACACAGGTAATGGGGTAGAATGTGTGTGGGTATGACAGTGTTCTATTTCTCATTGCTCGTCAAGGAAACCTCTGAACAGTGACACTGAGCAGAGAATTAAAGAAATCGAGGGAAGAAGCCATAAGGCTTTCTGGGGTCAGTTCAGGGGAAGGCCCAACAATTGCAGAGACCTGAAGCAGGAGTAAGCTTAAAGAATTTGAAGAGCAGAAGAGCCAGTGAGATGCAGGGACCATGAGGAGAACAAGACCTTAGGTTCCACCACAAAGACTGTGGAGTTTACGCTAAATAAAGCTACTGTAGTAGTTTTAACATGAGATCATCTCTGCTGTGCTTTGACGATCACTCTAGCTGCTATGCTGAGAAAGGAAGCTGCTATGTCAGGGTGGGAGTGGCAGATGGTGATGAGGAATGGTGTGGTTCTGAGGACCCTGATAAAGGAATTAGGGATGATTCCAAACCTATGGTTTGGCTACTGGAGAAGACATGCCAGCCACTGGGACAGACAAGGAAAATCTGGGGGAAATTGGTCCCATTTGAACATGTCCACCTGAGATGCCTGTTGGACAGCAAGTAGACATGCTGAGTAAACCAGTGTACAAGGAGAAGGAGAGGGAGAGAGAGAAGGAGGGAAGAGGGAAGAGGGAAGGGGGAAAGGGGAAGGGAGAAAAGGGGATGGAGGAGAGATGTGAGCCAAGCAGGGCTCCCTGATACCCTGCTTGAAACGGGCAACATGGCTGCCTGTCACTTGAGGCTCTGTGCAGGCCCAGCTTCTGTCCAGCAGCTCAAGGGCCACAGGGACCAGTAGCCTTTGCAGTCCAGTGGAAGCCCACTCTGGGTGAGGGAAATACAGAACTGTGAAGCAGCACTCAGGCTGGCAGGTGTACATTTAAAGGGAAACTCAACTGTGTGATTAGCTTCCCTACCTCAGTTACTGTCCAGCTGTCTGGGCAGAACAAAAGGGAAAGTTGGATATAGATAAATTGGAGTTTTCCTAAACAAAAATGATAGCAGGAAGCAGAGCACAGGGGCTCACACCTGTAATTCCAGCTATTCGGAAGGCGAAGACTGGGAGGACTGCCGTTTGAACCAGCCCAGGCAAAAAAGTTAACAAGGCTCAGTATCGACCGCCACTGGGAGTGGTGGGTCACACTTGCAACTCCAGTTACCAAAACCATATGGAGGAGGTTCAAAGTGTGAAGTCAGCCCCAGTCAAAAACCCGAGACCCCATCTGAAAAATAACTGAAAACAAAAGGGCCAGGAGTGTGGCTCAACCACTAGAGTCCCTGTCTAGCAATCACAAAGCCTTGGTTCCAAACCACAGTCCTACCTCCTCCCCACCCCCACAAAAAATGATGGCAAGACAGGAGAGAGGGAGAGCAAGGAAGCTCAGGCTATCTACAGTGAAGTAAGGACATGAAGGACTACTGTTGCCTGTAATACTGCCTACCTTAAACTTTAGTATATAAACTAAAAGCCACATTTGTTTCTTTTTCTCATGGTACTAGAGCTTGAACTCAGGGTCTACACCTTGAGCCACTCCATCAGCCCTTTTTTGTGATGGGTTTTTTCAAGAGATAGGGTCTCAAGGAGTATCTGCCTGGGCTGGCTTCGAACCATGATTCTCCTGATCTCTGCCTCATGAGTAGCCAGGTTTAAGCTACTGGCGGCACCTGGCTCCAATATTTTTAATAACTCTGAAACACTGAAGGTAGAAACTTCATTTCCAAACAAGACAACTAATCAAAACTGCATTTTCTATTCATTACAATTCTTGTCAGTTATGTCTCTAAAAGAAAAAAAGAACAAAGAGATTTAGAAGAAATGTAACTATTTTGAAGTCATCCATGTACTATATAGCACTTCAGGGTATTACGCATGTCTTTGCCAATCAGCCTAACCCGAGACAGACATGTCCACAGCCAAGTTCACTGACTCACTGCACGCAGGAGGGAGAACCTCACCAACCTCCCAAGCAAAGCAAGAGCTGCGACAGGGTCTGGGGCAGGGTGGAGGTCAGGGAAATGAAGTGAAGGACTATTTGACAGGCTCACCACAATGCAGGGCTCTTGTAAAGGGCTGTCAGGACTGGACAGTGAGGAAGATCAGATGGCTCCTCTTTCCCTGGAAACTACAAATTTTGACAGCTGTAGAGGAGTCTGTTCAGAAGCCCCTAAATGGAAGCTCTGCACCTGGGCTGGAAATGAAGCCTGCTTCACTCTATCAAAGTGACTCAGATCTTAAGGCAAGAGTGTGCTGTTCCATTCTTACTGATATCATTTCAAAGAGCAAAGTTTCTTAGCATTTATGATTTCTGAGCCCAAGCTTTCCCTGTGAATAAGGAGTAGATTTTCAAGGTCTTTGCGACATTGATCATAGTAGTAAGCATGTCCTTGGGAGAAATACTGTTTCTTATTAACTTTGCAGCTTCCTTCATCTGTGTCTGTTTCGACTGACGAACAGCAGGACAGATGTTTACCTTCTCAGTGGGAGCTAACACTAACTTTCTTGTGTGTCAGAAAAGTTTTGGTTTTTTTATTCCCCAACACTACAGCCTCAACTCAGGGCCTGCTAGACAGAGGCTCTTACTGCTTGAGTCACCCTGCCAACACCCATTTTGTTTTTGAAAACATAGATGTAGCTGGCCGCTGGTGGCTCACACCTGTAACCCTAGCAATTCAGGAGGCGAAGATCAGGAGGATCGTGGTTCCAAGCCAGCCCAGGCAAATAGTTCCTGAGACCCTATCTCGAGAAAAACCCATCACAAAAGAGGGCTTGAGTTGCTCAAGGTGTAGGCAGAGAGCAGAAGAATCAGGTCCAAAGCCTGGACCTGGGGCTGCCCAGGCAAATAGTTGGCAAGACTCTAACTCGAAAAAATGCAACACAAAAAAAGGGCTGGTGAGGTGGCTCAAAGCATAGACCCTGAGTTGGAGGCCCAGTACCTCAGAAAAAAGTACAGATGTGAACCTGAGCTATTTCAATTTTTTTCCCAGTATCTCATCAAATTGCCCTTTCATAAGTTATGTTTGTATCCACATCTTCTATGGTTATGTTTCTTAAGTAACTGATAGAATCCCCTTTCTATTTCTTGCTTCTTATTGTAAGTTTGAAAACTGTACTACTGAGATGAGTTATTTTCAAATATATATATGACTTTTTAAATGAAAAGTCAACTATTTTGGGAAATACCTCCTTTTCAGATAGTTAAAAAGTTTTGCTGTGTTAGACTGGCTTACAGCATAGAAAGAAAAATGGGGGTGTGGTAGCCCACACATGTAATCCAGGCACCAGAAAGGTTGAGGCAGGAGAAGTGCAAGTTTCAGGTCAGCCTGGGCTACACAGCCAGACCTTGCGTTAAAAACAAAAAAAAAAAGAGCTGGGTGCTGTGACCCACCACTGTAGTCCTAGCTCCTCAAAAGGTGGGGGCAGGACAGAGTTCATTACCAATGTGGGATAGCAAGACCCTGTCTCAGAAACAAGAAACAAAAGGGCCAGGAGCATGGGAGACCACTCCATGGCAAGGCCTTGGGTTCAATCCCCATCACTGGGGGGGGGGAAAAAAAAAAGAGGGCTGGGATGTAGCTCGGTGGTACAGCGCTTGCCTAGCATGCGTGAGGCCCTGGGTTCGATCCCAGCACCAAAAAAGAAAAGACAAAAAAAAAAAAAACCTCTCCCCAAAAAAAAAAAAGAAATTAGTGAAAAACCACATTATTTGCAAACACACTGCTTCTTCAAGAAACTGGTGCAAGTCTTTTTTAAAGACTGAGTTAAGGGCTGGGATGTAGCTCGGTGGTACAGCGCTTGCCTAGCATGTGTGAGGCCCTGGGTTCGATCCCAGCACCAAAAAAGAAAAGACAAAAAAAAAAAGAGACTGAGTTAAGTTTATAACTAACAACAAAATAGGGAAGCAAGGATGAGTGTGTCTATAAAGAAAATAGTTGTAGATCAAATGCCAAAATTGAATTAGATTTTTTTTTGTGGGGCTGGTATTTAAACTCATAACTGTACGCTTGCAAAGCTGGCACTCTACCACTTGAGCCACACCTCCAAGTCCATTTTGCTCTGGTTATTTCTGGAGACTGGATCTGGGGGACTATTTGTCCAGGCTAGCCTCCAACCGCGATCCTCCTAATCTCAGCCTCCGAAGTAGCTAGGATTATAGCGTGAGCCACTGGAGCCCGGCTAAGCTTAGATTCTTAAACTAACTAAAGAGGCTTAAAATGTCATTGGTAAAAGCTTGCTTACTTGGGAATTAAGTAAAAACACTGAGTAACTGATGGATCTTCATAAATACACACGGACAAAAGAGAGCACAGGATTAGCCAAAGCATCTAAAGAACAGGTCAACACCCCAGGCCCTCAGCAGTCGGCGTGGGCCAGTGAGCAGATGCATCCATTTCCCTCCCCAGGCAGCCTTCCGCTGGGGTTGGCTATGACCTACTTCTCTGGGTTGAAACGAACAGCTTTTGTCATCAGTGGACAAAATCCATGTCCCTAGGCACAATATGAAGGTAAGGACAAACACGGAAAGACCACTGTCCAACTGCCTCACGTAGGGATAAAGAAACAGAACCAAAGTATTGGTGACTTAAGGAGGGCATAAGCACCTGGCACTGGAATTTTTTTTCTTTTTGTGGGAGGAAAAACGATTGCTAGAAGACAACAGCAAAGGAAAGTCTCAGAGTGAATTAGTAGCTCCTGACACCTGGAGAACACTCCATCTCAACAACTCAAAGCCTCGGGGAATTCCCGGGAAACCCCCGACAGACCCTCTCCGTACCCAGCCACCCGCCAGCTCCTTTTCTGTCTTCCGGAACCGCGATCCTCACCTGGTTCTGGCAGTGTCGGTGGATGACATCCAGGACGGAATATCTAGCCGAGGCACACCTTACCGCCTTACACCCGAAACCCGGACCGCGAACCCACACCCACACCGCAGCCGCCGCCATTTCGCCCAGTCCCGGAACGCCGAGCTCGACCTTATATGGCGGGCGCTAACCACCATCCCGTCGCAAGTTGATGACGCAGAATCGCTCTCCAGCGCCCCCGCCCCGCGAGTTTCCGGCCGCTCCGCCCCTCCCAAGGGGGCGGGTCACGTGGCCCGCCGGCCGCTGGCGGGGGGGAGGGGACAGGAAGGGCCTGGCCGAGGCTGATAAGACCGCAGGGCGAGAGGGCGAGGCGTTGCTAGGGGCCGTTGCCAGGGCGGGGCTCGAGGGACTGGCTATAAAAGGCAGGCGCTGGCGCGGGCCCTCGCTCTGGCTGCGGGCGATAAGGGTGTGCTGGGCTCCGCCCCGCGGGCTTGGCGCAGCGCTCCTGACGGCTGCGGTTATTTTTGGGTCTCCGGGAGCTGTGGTGGGGGAGGCAGCGCTCCCTGGAGGTGAGCTGCGAGGAACCGCGGTCCAGCGAGCAGGTTGGAGGCCGCTCCCCCGCCAGCCTGGAGGACGAGGGGCGGCGACCCTAGGAGGTCTCCAAGCCCCGGCCAGCCTGGCGCTCCCTCTCCCCGGGAGCGGCGGCCCCCCGGGCTCCCGCCAGCGTCGGCTCGACGCCTTCTGGTTTCCGCCGGTTTGTGCTCTGCGTCGTCTCTGTTTTCAAAATATTTCGCAGCAAGTGAGCCCTTGTGGAAGGCGGTGGCGGGAGTGACGTTGACGGGCTGCCGCTCGTAGCCTCGCACCATTACTCTGCGCCATGGAAACATCCGGTGCGGGTTGCGGAGCGGGACTCGGCCCCGCGCCGAGGGAGCCCCTAAATATTTAATATGCCGAGACGATCGCGGCTGAATCTCGAGCAGGGAGGCCGCTGGGGCGAAGCCCGGGCTTGGCGGAGGACAGGTGCGCTGGCCCCCAGGTCCAGGTGCACGGCAGGTGCAACCCATCGCCGAGGAGAAGCGACACAAAACTGCGGTGTGAGCAAAAATAGAACCCGGAGGCCTGTGAGCTTGTGCATTGTTGTCTTTATTACACACAGAGGGATAATGAGAGGGAGAGATGCCTCCGTGGGGATTCCAAATAATAGCGCATTGTGCCTAGAAGCAGTATTTCGCAAAGGCGCGTCGCGGTGACCCTGAGGTGCACGGTCTCAATCACATGTAAGCGGTGCAAACCGTGGAAAGCATGACTCTCCCGGCTCTCTACCCTCGGGGTTCCCGAACAAGTACTCTAGAACCCTGACCCTAAATCTCTCCTTCGCATATTCGTGACATACTTTCTGGGGATCAAAAATAGCTATTTGAAGATCTCTGGGTCTTCCTCCTCTACAAGTTAACCACATAAAGACCAGTTTAGGTTTACAGAAGTTGTGTCAGGATCAGGCTCTGTACCCTGTAAGCCTTCAGCAGGATTTCCTTCTAATAAGGAAGGCCCACATTATTTATGACCAACATCATAGTGTACTCTCCCCACATCTAACCGTCGGGTGGAATCCACTTTTTATCCCGTTGATTTCGGTTCCTGCTATTTAAAAAGCATTGAATAGGCGAGTCATTTAAAATGTAACAATTGTTGTTTAACTTTTCAAAGACACAAATCTTCTGAGCAATGCGTGATCTGTTGCTAAACCTTTAAAATGAGCAGCTTGCACCCAGAGTAGATGTTAAGTAAATATTAGTTGAGTATTTGGTGAATTACTAAGTGAATCTAATTATTCCCAATGTATATAAAAAGAAACGTATTTAGCACTAGCATAAGACATTCTGTCAGCCCCTAAGGACAGGGAAATCCACTTGCATCGCTCGCTATTTAAATTCACGTAAGTAATGGAGGGAGCCGAGGCACTGAAGTTAAGGCTGTGGCCAAGAACAAGTTGCATATCAGTGGGAAACCAGAAAACGCTGATTAGCTGGTTGCTAAGGGTATGTGGTAGTGTCCAGCAGACAGCGCTATGGCTGAGGCTGGGTGGTGGTGATGAACAAGAGCCACTGCTGCCCCCTCCCCATCTCATACATCACATGGGAAAAGGTCAAGAAGGCCAGTGTATGGTTGTGACAACTAAATGGGGTGGGGGCCAGCTCCTCCCCGACTCCCCACTCATCATAAAATAATCAAACTATTTTGGCCGTGCTCCTCAGACCGTATTTGGTGTTCTTTGCAATAAACCATGCTGGCTTTGTTCCTGCCTGTGTTCCCCAAAAGGCTCCAGCTGTACATTTGCTTTTTGAGGACTGTTTCAGCTGCCAGGAGAGGGACACTGGGAGAGCATCCTGAGGCTATGTGGAATAATTGTTCACTGCCAAGAAATGACAGCACCAGACAGGCAACCCATGACAGGGGTCTATTGAGCCAAATATCATGCTGGTCTGCAACAGCAGGAAGCAGAGCTATGTCCCGGCGCTTCCTATCAACCATGGCAAGTCTAAGCCAGGGCATTGCAGACTCCATCCATGTGTGGCGTGTCAGGTGCACTTCTGTGTTTTCAGCCATGTTGGTGCTCAGAGGAGGGGAAAGGTGGTTGTTAATACTGTCTTCATGACAAAAGACAATGGGACAGGCTGAGTCTTCCAGTGCCACAAGCACAAAACTGCCACAAACTCCCAAATTGGCAAGTGCTGCCTTCTGGATGGCTCCAGCCCCAGGAACAATGAGGTCAGCTCCTGGGATGGAAAAACAGCTTCTGGTAAGAGCTGTGGAGTCCACACCAGGGTGGATGTGTGGGAGGTGGAGCCTGGAGCAAGCCCCAAGACATCTGGCTGCCTGGGAAGGCGAAACTCCACCCTCCATCCTTTATTGGATACAAGAAAACAGGACACGTCAGGGTGAGAAGAAGTGAGAGGTAGAAAAGGCTGCGTGTGAGCACTGATGCTGGAGAAGAGTTGAAGCAGCAACCAGGGTGGAAGGGCAGCAGCCAAAGCTGAGTGCAGAAGCCCTGCTTTGTGCTACCACCAAGACAAAAGGAGCTTCCCTAAAGGCAGACTTCATGGACAAATTCTGTCACTCCTGCTGCCCACATATCAGCCAGTTCAGTCATCAGACAAAGCCTTTCCAATACCATTGTTCTCACAATCACCACCAAATGATTTGTTCCATTAAAAAATTTAATTTCTGACCAGGCCAGGTAGCTCGTGCTTGTAATCCCAGTCACTGAGGAGGAGCAGATGGTGACAACACAGTCCAGGCCAACCCCAGGTAAAAACAGGAGACCCTCTGGCAAATAACTAAAGCAAAAAAAGCGTTGGGGTGGGGCTCGACTGGTAAAACACCTACCCAACAATCAAGTTCAAACCCCCATACCCCTCCCAAAAAAATTAACTTTTGAGGGCTGGGGTGTAGTTCAGTGGTACATTTGCCTAGCATGTGTAAGGCCCTGGGTTCCATCTCCAGCACTGAAAAAAACTAATTTCTGCTGGGTATTCACTGTGATGGAACTCTAAAGCAAAGCTAGCACAGTTTGTGTCTCCCAGAGAGTTTTAGTCTCTCAGCACTGGAATGTTTCTTCAACAATGAATTTGATTTTTCTCTAGTCAGTAAAAATCCATGGTCCTCATACCTGGAATCCCTGCACTTGGGAGGTAGAGCAATAGGATCACAAGCCAAGGCCAGCTTGGGCTACATAGTGAGACCCTTTCTCAAAAGAAGGGGGAGGGGTGAATTCAAGTATGATATATTTGCTGTATTGTAAGAACTTTTGTAAATGCCACAATGTACCCCCAGAACAATAAAAAAAAATCACAATTTAGGCAACAAAAAAAAAAAAAAAAGGAGGGAAGATTTTCTTGCTGGAGAAGTGATAGCTATTTGGGAATATTTTCTTTAATTAGTTGATGTAATTAGTATATACCTACTGTATTACTCAGGGTTCTTCAGAGAAAGAGAACCAGTAGGTTGAATGGATGGATGGGCAGACGGACAGACAGGTAAGTAGATAGATAGGAAATTAGCTCACGACATTATGGAGACTTACAAGTCTCAGGTCAGCAATTGAGCTGCAGGCTGGAGACCAGGAGAGCCCGGTGTGCAGGTCCCAGCAGGAGGCCAGCAGGCTGCAGAACCAAGAAAGTGCTGACATTTCAGTGTAAATCCTCTAGTCCAACACAGATGTGAAGCATATAGCCTCCTGTAGTCCCAGCAAAATCCTCCAGGCATTGATAAGAGCAGAGGAGTGATGGTGAACAAGTGTGCTGCCAGGGCAAGATGCCACAGAGCCACACACAGCTCCATGTGAAACTGAATTAGTGTCTCCCATGTGTGTTCCAGGAACACACATTAGAAAAGAATTCCACTTTCAAATAAATTTGTAGACACCCTTCCTTAGCTTGGGCTGCTCTAACAAAATAGCATGGACCATATAGCTTACACAACAGACACCTGCCTCCAGAAACAGGTGCTAGAAGAGTCTGGACTTGGTGAAGCCCTCTTCCTTGCTTGTTAAATGCCTCCTTTTTTGCTGTGTGTTTATGGGAGGGAATGGAGGAGGGAAGGAAAAAAAGGGAGAGAGACCAATCTCTGGTCTTCCAGTCTCTTTCTCATTTATGTATTTATATATCTATTTATCAATTTTTACAGTACTGGAGCTTGAGCTTAGGGTCTACACCTTGAGCCACTCCACCAGCTCTTTTTTGTGATGGGTTTTTTTGAGATAGGGGCTCATGAACTACTTGCCTAAGCTGGCTTTGAACCAGGATCCTCCTAATTTCTGCCTCCTGAGTAGCTAGGATTACAGGCATGAGTCACCTGTTCCCGGCCTCTTCCTCTTCTTATAAAGACACTAATTCCATCATGACAGCTCTACTTCATGACCTCATTTAACCTAAACTACTGCCTGAAGGCCCCACCTCCTTATGCTTCAATGAAAGTTAGCTCTTCCAGTGTTGTAACCACTCTCATATGCCCCTTTTAGAGACTCACAAATTTTTTGAATGTGAGGAAGGCCCTAAGAAACTCTCTTACCTTTGATCTAGTATTTCAGAAACTTTCTGTTTTTTTTTTTTTGGAACTGGGGATGTGAACGAATGCTAGACACTGAGCTATGTCCTCAGA